GGGGGACCCGGCGGCCTGGCGTCCCTCTTTGTCGGGGGGACAGGGGGGGGGGCGGATCAAGGTGCGAGCCCGGGGGTGGTCACCGTGGGGGCGCCGGCGGGGTGCTCGGGGGGCGGGTGCGGCCGGCCCACAAGCCATAGAATGACCCGGTGCGGCTTCCCCGGGGAGTTCATAGCCCCCTCACCTCACCTGCGTCTCGCCTCCCGGCCCCGGCCCCGGCCTCCCCGCCGGCGGCCGCGCGAACTGGTTGGTCACACAACCAGGACGCCAGGACGTCCGCGTCCCGCGCCGCAGCAGCTTGTCCGCGAGTCGCACCTCGCCGCCGCACCCTGTGCTGGGCATTACGCACCCTGGTCACCGTGGTCGGGTGTGGCCTTGGGAGTGGCGCCGCACCGGGGTGGGGCGGGGCGGGGCGTGGGTGTCTTTGAGCCGGCGTCAATGCAACTTCCTCCCCGCTGAGTTAGGACAATGAGGATCAGGTTAGCCAGCGGAGGACACACTTACTTGTGAAGTGGGCACGTGGGGGTTGCGCGGACGTGGAGGCGGGCGGGGCTGGAAGTTGTGTCCCGCTGGACCCCTCAGTCACGCGGGTCTGGCTCGGGCATGCTCTTATTTTCCCGCTTCGTAACTGTGATCATTCTAAAATTTGTTTTATAATTTCCTCTCAGGCTTGGACACAGTAAACGAAAAAGAGCCCAGATAAATGATAATGTGCAGAGGCAATAACAACTCAGGCTGTTCATGAAATTTAAGTTGTATTTTTGATTAAATGAACTAATTGGCTGAGCGATTAGCGAAGCCTATTACTCCAGTGATGATCAAAAAGTTTCGCGTCTGTTTGTGTGTCTGTTTGTCTGTACGCACGATAACTCGAGAACGAATTGAGCTAGCGACCTGGGATTTTCAGGGTCGTTTTGTACCATAAAAAGACAGATCGAGTTCAAAGAAGAGCATTCTAGCTCAAAAATTGGATTTTTAAAAAATCAAAAACCACAGGTACCCAAAATGACGTTTTTTCAAAATATTTTTTTTAATGTTTCCTAAGGGGTAACTTATCAAAGTAGAGTCCTATGGAAGAAAATTCCGTCCGTTTGGCACTATCTCTAACCGTTGAGGCGCCAGACACTGTTTTCCCCACGGGAATGACCCAAAACCATTTCAATGTTTATTCTCAAATATTTCATGGTCTCTGAAGGGTCAACTCGTCAAAATAAAATCCTGGGGAGCAATAATTGTGACTCTTGGGGCCGAAGGCCTATTTACGACTCTTTTTTTTGCCCGACTCGGGTGTCAGCGCCGCAGGCCTAGGTAGGTGTATGCCAGGCGCGTCGCAGCGTAACAGTGTTTCGTGAGATATCGCGAAGCCTGTTACGCGAGACGTGGTCTGACGTACATCTACCTAGTTGGCTGAGCGATTAGCGAAGCCCATAACTCCACTGACCGGAAAAGTTTCATTCTGTTTGTCTGTGTGTCTGTTTGTCTGTACGCACGATAACTCGAGAACGAATTGAGCTAGCGACCTGGGATTTTCAGGGTCGTTTTGTACCATAAAAAGACAGATCGAGTTCAAAGAAGAGCATTCTAGCTCAAAAATTGGATTTTTAAAAAATCAAAAACCACAGGTACCCAAAATGACGTTTTTTCAAAATATTTTTTTTATGTTTTCTAAGGGGTAACTCATCAAAGTAGAGCCCTGCGGGCGAAAATTTCATCCGTTTGGCACTATCTCTAACCGTTGAGGCGCCAGACACTGTTTTCCCCACGGGAATGACCCAAAACCATTTCAATGTTTATTCTCAAATATTTCATGGTCTCTGAAGGGTCAACTCGTCAAAATAAAATCCTGGGGAGCAATAATTGTGACTCTTGGGGCCGAAGGCCTATTTACGACTCTGCGTTTTTGCCCGACTCGGGTGTCAGCGCCGCAGGCCTAGGTAACAGTGTTTCGTGAGATATCGCGAAGCCTGTTACGCGAGACGTGGTCTGACGTACATCTACCTAGTTATATTTGATGCCTCTTATCTGGATTTTGAGTTAAAGATAACTTATTAAATATAATCCAAATATGTGAAGGAATCCAATCAAAGTTTGAGGGAAATTAAATAAAAAGCTCTGATTCAGATACGAGGAATAATATGCGCATACTATGAGTCCCATTCTAAATCACAAATGAGGTGCAACCCCGTGCAATCTTTACTCAGGATTACCTGTGCCCGCCCACTATCCTGTTTTCGAAATGGCGCGTCTTGCAGCGGCGGGGTCGGCCGGTATGGCGCCGGTAATGGCATTATGGTGAGCATTACTAGGCCAGGCGCCCCCTCCCCCCCCCTGCGCCGGCTAGGCTCGGGCTAGCATAGCGGATTACATATGGATACGGGAACCAAACCACGACCAAAGTAGAGATGAGCCCAGCCTCGTTCACCATCGCTAAAAACCGGGTTGGGGTTAAAACAAATAATATCTGGCGACAGGCAGGGGACGGGATTGGGGTTGAGGGGCCCGTTGAGTCTGGCCGATGCAAGCCTCATGACGGTAGGTCAGGGAACGGGGGCATCGGGCCAGCAGGGCCCCTCCTCAGCCCCTCCCCCCCCCCCCCCCCCCAGATTTCTCCCCCCCCCCCCCCCCTCGTAAAGTTCCCTGCCCCCGTCAACGATCCCCTCACTCTCGCCCTGCGCTGCAGACAGGTGTCTGGCCCTCCTCGCTGGTCCTCACTGTTCTTGACATGTCTCTAATAGCGAGCGGACTTGGTGCTCGGGTGTCTTCACTACCCAAAATCATCTGTAGTTTGCCGTAATGGCGCTAGTAGACATCTTACTTTACCCACTTTACACCTTCCTTTCCCGAAAAGAGGTTATTTTCAAAAACGACGTTATACATAACAACTCATCGTTGGAATCCGAGTTCTTCTTTCGCCCCCACCCCCACCCCCTTTGCAGATGACTTTGTTGAATGTTGCGCCGCGCGAACTGCAGGACGTTGAACGCCGAAGCCATAGCCGAGTCATTCAGCTCGAATGTGTGTCACTCGGCGAAGGGGTGCAAGCGATGGGGGATGACGGGGTTGGGGTGGAGGGTCATCCAATCGTCCAGAGGCGATGCCAGACCGGAGGCTCTAACTTGGCGAGGTGTCTCGCTGACCTGCAGGAGCCTCGGCGGGGGTCGACCCGGAAGAGTGGGGTGGTTAGTAGGTAGGTAGGTGGTGCGCTCCTGTACTACCACCTCGAGTCGAGAGGGAGAGGGTTAGAGAGAGAAGTGGGGAGGGGGGGGGGTAACTTTTGGATGCTGCTCCTGCGCGGGGTGACACCTTGTTAAAATATTGTGATGGTCCAAGAGGGAGGAGTCCGTGCAGGTGGCGCCCCGGGGGGACCCGGCGGCCTGGCGTCCCTCTTTGTCGAGGGAAAATGGGCCACTCTGTGTGCTTGCGCCGCTTGCGCAGCGTGAGCCACCGGCCGCGCCGTGGGCGACATCATGAGGCTGGTACTGGCGGCCAGCCCGGCGGCGGCTGTCCCGAGGGCGGGGCGGGGCGGGGTGGGCCGCTGAGAAGGTGTATGAATATAAAGCGGGCGCTGCCGCCGCCCCGTCCCGCATGCATGAGGGCCTAAGCGTACCGAGCGGTGATTAGATAAGCGCGAGGATAGAGGTTCTCTAATATGGCACAGTTTGCCATTTTAGTGCAGATTAACCTGACTTCCTGATAGATTTAAATTTTCGGGATACAATTTTGCAATTTATTGTAGGTTAGGTTAGGTGAACTAAAACAATATTTGTTCTGCTCATTTTCAATTTAGTAAGACATAAGGAAATCGTCGGTTTAACCAGTTCTGAAGTGAAGGGTAAACCCCATGGAAATGGAGTTGCTCGAGTTCGTAAATGTCAAACACCACGGTTCAATAATAAAAATCATGATTCGCTGCAGCTAAATTTTCGTGCTGGTTCCGGTCCTGATTTTCTTATTTTCAAGCAGTGCGGGAATCACGTATTGGTGCCGCGCGAATATATTGTCTCTTGTACATTTTTAGGCAGAGGCGGAGGCATGCTCCTTTCCAGTCGGGCCTGCTTCCCGCCCGGCCTCGAGTACGTCATCTGTACGGATTTTCC